AATAAAAAGCCAAGAAAACAAAATGTGGAAATAATGACTTTTAAATTATTAATTTAAACGAAAAGAATGGTTTTGTTAACAGTTTTTATGATAATTACAATTTGTTGAAATAATGAAAAGCGGTCAAGAATGAGGTAGTTTCATTTTTGCCGACCTTTATTCGGGTCATCTTCAGGGCATTGAATGTGGTGCTATTTTTGTGGTGCGATATTGGTTTTGTGAAAAACCCATCTTCTTTGTAAGTATAATTTAATGTTTGTAGATTTAAATATCGAATGGAGTTAATTCACGAGGAGGAATCCACCGGGCTGTGTGGATTTTTGCATGTCATTGACTTGCGTTTGGGATCGATACCAGGCCTCCGCTGAAGTTGTGGGTTAGTGGACTTGCAAGTCTTTATTATCCTCCCCGCGCCAAATCCCTCAAGAATCTCAACAAACATAAAACCGTTCCGGGAATAAAGTGGCTTGATCCTTTACGGTCGCAATGTAAAACTTTTACGTCCCTAGTTTATTTTTTTTTTAAATATTGGTTTCGAAGCCTTTTCGGGGTTTTCAAGAGCCATAACAGGTTCAAACAAAATTTAATTATTGAAGACTACAATGATGGATTATGATAAAACTTCGATTTTTTTAATAAAGACATTTTAATGTTTTTGGTGTTTGTTCGACAGAGAATTAATACTTGTTAGACTGGTTCATTCGTGATTGTAAAAAAGTGAGAATAGACGGACCCAGCAAAGTGGTCAGCGTCCATCAGTTCTAACCAACTTTAGTTAAAGTTCGATCATCACCAATAATCCTGTTTTCGAAGTAAGACGCCCATTTAATGGGTTAAATTAAAACAAAATATTACTAATCTCCATTATGTATAAAATCGTAGAAATGTCTACCGAAACATTTGCTTAAATAAAATTTGTCGAAAAAGTTACACAATCTGGCGTCCGAGGACGTCAGTAAATCAAGCTGGCAACTCTTGCAACTGGATTGGCTCTAACATTGAAACCCTCCAATCAAAATAGTATGAAAGTATAAAAAGCACTTTTTAATATTTGTTTGTTTTTTAAGTTTCGACTTAAAAACGAAAAACTACGTAAATCACTGAAAATGAGACTTGTAAATTTTATTTGTATTACTTTCATTAGCAAGAATACAGCAACCTTTATTAGAAATTCTGTCTACTGGTTATATTCTTGAATAAAATACAATAATATAATTTACAAAGGAAAGTAAACTATATAATAATTTAGGAGCTGTTTTTGTGGCATGCTTAGTGCCATATAGGTTCACCACACACGTACTAAATCACTGGGTAATGGAAAAATGGTATCACTTTATAACATTTCGTACAATACATGTAATATAAAGGTTTCTAACCGTATGTGCTAATAAAGAACACCCAAACCTTGTAAGACAATACTTAACATATTGAATATAATATAGTACGAATTATTTAATTATACCAAAATTTTTTCATCAATATCGGTTATTTTATAATCTCTATGAGTAATTCTGTGTGCAAACGATATTTTTGAATAGAACACAATAATATAATTAAAAAAAGAGAAAAACCTATAATAACCTCCAGGGTTTTTGTTGGCAAGAAAGCTATGTTAGCCTTACGTTGGCTACAATAGTAGTAAATTAGTAATATAAAAATGTTTCTTTATATGAAAAATAGAGGTTTCTAATCGGATAAACTAATAAAGATAAAAGGATTGAATAAAGTTCATGCAAACAAAATTAAAATTAATTGGTAGTAATTTTAAACCTTATTTCTTAAAGTCGAGTCTTTTTTATATTTCTTTTATAAGTTTAGAATAATTTTTTAATTAAATATTTTTTAAAATTAAAATCTCTTGCACGGTTTTAAACACGATTAACGGCTTTCTTGTTTTTTTATACAATTCCACACTACAACACAAATTTTACTAATAATAGTATAATTTTTAATACACTTCCAAATTTTAAACTTTGTATATATTGAATAATAAAGACATACAGCAGTTGCAATATTCTTTAAAAAAAGTAAAATTGGGGTGAAATGTGAAGTACTAATGATTATAATTTAGGACCATACATGTTTAACTGGGTCATATCTAAGATTGAAATATCCGATTATTTTCCAATAAATTAAAATAAGATCTTTTGATAGCTTTTCAAGTTTATGTATCATTAAAGAACTTCAAAAATTTTCATTACTTAATACAAATAATTAAAAAAAAAAAAATAAAACATACTTTTACAACCTACAGAAAACTTCATCTTATTTGAAATTAAAGATAGAAACGTTGGCACGAAGTAGAAAATGTGTTTCTAAACCTACATACCTAAACCTACCTCTAAATAATAATTAAAATTAAATTTCTCAAAAATTTTTTAAATTATTTATTTTTGGATATGACTTTAAAAATTTCACTGATGTATCATTAAATATCTAAACCGTTGGGTATGGCGGACGAGAGGTCAAACCTCTTTACAATAGTTGTTTCAAACTATTTTCGATCAAAATTCCATGTGCTGTGCCGGGATTCGAACCCAGAACCGCTAGCTTGGGAAATAAGGGTCCGACAGCGCGGTCCGTGAATCATTAAAGATCGTAAAAAAATTTTTCTCGAGATTAAAAAAATGAGAAAAATATTCTACAAATATTAATCCCCTTATTGGTTTAATTTTAGCAAGGCCCATAGATTTATTGCTTTAGTATAAAAACAATTATAAGGTAAGTTTTGGTAAAAAACGGTTTTCAAATTTTTAATCTTTATGTTTAAATCCGACTAACTTCTGCGACATTTTAGTTTTCCATTCCATTAGGCACTATGACGGTTTTAAAAATATTAAAATCCTACAAAGCGTTTATCTTAAGAAAACTGATTGAATTATTTATAATTGGATTACAGTTGAAAAAAAGGAAATCTAATATAATGCGAAAACAATAATTTTGTAAAAAGACAGAACTTAAGAAAAATATTGAAAACCAGTGAAAATTTTATATTTATCGTATTTTTTTGTAAACGATTTTTTTACAGCAAGATTTACGGGTTCAATAAAGTTGTTCAAAGCCAACTGACCAGTAGGTATTTTAGGTTTATAACTCACTTATGTATTATACTATGAGTCAAATAGTTAAATCGTACTCACGGAACTTAATAATTGGTTATAATAGGTTTTTAGGAAATAAAGCCGAAAGCGGATCTTTCCGAACAGCCGGTAGTACATACAATTACGCCAGTCCTCCGCGAATGAGTCATGCGGATGCAATGCGGCGAAAACAACTGAACCAATATAATACAATTTGCACAGGAGATCCGCCAGCGGATTTTTCCGATAGAAGACAGGAAAAATCTTTTGTGTTCATACGTGTAAAACTGGTGTTGAAACGGCCGGGAGGGGTACAACAGCTTACGTTCAGCTTCATGACTCATCGCCCGGCCCCGAAAGGATTAAAATTCATGGACATCAGTATTCAAGTCAGGATCCCATAGTGAACCTTATCTTTTCACAATTTTTTTGTGTGTGTTCAGCGGTCTACTTTCAAATGTTTAAATGCGGCCTTTTCTCCTACTAACTAATCTTCTATTGAAAAAGGAGAGAAAAAGCCTTTAAATGGTTTGAGTAAAAAAAAAAATCTCATTTGGGGCTAAAGAACTTCTAAACGTTTTGACTATGTAAAATACAACTACTTACAAAAACACTATAAAATTTGGATATTCAATACGTTCAGTCTTTAGCAATTTGTACAAAATATACAGCTTCCGCTCATTTCTGACTTTTTAATTCGGAATATCGCATAATTCTATTATTTAAAAATCTTTAACCACTCGGCTAAGCTTTAAAAACCCGATTAAACTCGCAATTCGGCTCTGAGAATTTAAGACTCGACCCCCATTAAGCGAGCGGAAAAGGTAAATGAGACTCCGTAAACAATAAAAAAAAAAGAAAAGAAATAAACTTAGTGAGAGAGTATAACGTACAGTCAAAAGTAAGGATATGAATGGGGGTTTATTTCATAGCCAGGTTTTCATAACCTTGAAAAAGTCAGGCAAGTCCTTATCCAACTATTGATATATAGGTTTTTCTGGTAATAATATATTTTTAAAAAAATTACCGAAGAAAAAAAGGCCGACTTAAAAATATTTATTTAATAAAAAAATATTAAAAAAGACACAATGAGATTTTCAGATTGTTTTATCGGTATTTGTCAGGGAAATTTTTTTTATTGTATTAAAAAGGAAAATATCCCAGCGTTGGAAAAACGAAAAAATAATTTACCTCGGGTCGAGATATCCATTTAATTATTCAGTGTACTGTAAGTTAAAAAAATTTATATAATCGATGAGTATTTTTACTTCTGACATTTGAACATCAATTTTTTTAAAAAAATTTTAAACAGGAAATTGAATATTTAATTATTTAAAATTAGTATTTTTTTCGTGAAGTTTTGTTTAATTATTACTTTAAATGGAATTATTCGGATACATTTGAATAAATGAGGTAATGGATAAATCGTATAACGTCTGTTCGGGTTCAATTAAAATCTGGAATAAATAAATTAGGCAGAGTTAAAACGATTAGAACGAGTTAATTGCGAATTGGATTGCATTGTCTGTAACACTTTTACGCTTTATTTTATCGGAAAGTTTCAAGCAGGCTCGTCAATAAGTCCTTATCAGACACGAAGGTACCATACACCCACTATCCACTCCCCCACCACAATTTTTATATTCAAAGGCCTACAAAACCAAGCCGGTGTTTTGAAATCGCGGCAGTAAACAGCGGCGACTGCTAGGGTCGAAGCAGAAAGGTCTGGCACAGGACGATACTGACGAACATTCTCTAAAACCGGGTCCGGGAAAAATGAGAAAAATTTAATTTTCAGAATAAAGATAGAAAATCGTCAAATTGCGAAACTTCAAAAAAAGGTCGAGGTTTTCCGAAGGAGCCGGTCACTGAAGAAAAAGTGTTTTTCCGCGATTTTGAAAATGACCGATTTCCACTCACCTCGAGTCGTTTGTCGAGACTGGCTTGAGGTTCAAAATTCACTGAAAGGTGCAGAGACACCCACACTTTGTGCACTGGTCTGAGCTCTGAGCTAGAATGCGGGTCCGCTGAAGAATCGGATGAAGAGGGGATGGAGCGCATGCTCGACGGTGCAACACTCCACAAGTACCCCACTCTGACGTCCGTTCCTACCTCTCCACCCCCGCCGTGACACCTACCCAATCCATATATCCACTCAATCAATTGTTACCCTCCTCGCGTAAAAAACAAAATACCGAAAAAGGAAATAAAAACATGGGAAAAGTTGGAAATTTCAACGGTTCGGCGTCGTTACCGGCTTTGATTTGTCCCCTGATCCTACTTTTGTCCACAGCCCGTGTACGGTTTTCCGATAATCTCCCTTGGCTCGGGCAGGCTCTTTTTTCCCCGACTACATTCGATTTTCTCATTGCCTAGCATTCACTGAGCTTAGTTTGCTTCATGCATAAAGCACAGTACATCTATTCACTTAATGGATCAAAGACATATTGACAATTCGTTCATTTACTACCTTAATAGCCAATTAGGACCTTTAACAAAAAACTTGAAGTTGCGTGAATCCCATAAATATTGGTATTTTTTAAACGTTCAACGATGTTTTGTTACTTCAAATGTAAAACCACAGTTTACAGTAGAACAGATCAAAGTCATGTTAGAAAATCATCCAACGGTGACTATGACATACCCATGTTTATACAAGTTTAAATAAATCAACAATCATCAGCTTCATGTACAATTAATTTTTTACGGAAAAACTTATCGAACCTAAATTTAGAAATTTACATTGAACTATTTTTTCCATCTATATTCTATTTTCTGATTACTTAGCCATTCCCTGTATCTACTTTGCTTCAGGCATAAACCATAAAACCACAGTTTATAGTAGAAGAGATCAAAGGCATATTAAAAAATCATCGAACGATGACTATGACATACCCATGTTGGTGCAATATTAAATAAATCAACAATCATCAGCTTTATGTACAATTAATTTTGTTAACTTATCGAATCTAAATTTAGAATTTATCATTTGGAGATCGTGAGATGCGGTCTGGTGTGACGTAGGTTTTAGAAAAACTTTTTTTATCTTGCCGACGTTTCGACCTTTATTGAGATCATCTTCAGGGCCTGGGATTTACAAACATTGTTTAAATTTTACAAATACATGTAGGATGTGGAAAAAAGCGTCTCACGATTTCCAAATGATCATTAACTAACGGTCACTAAACGCCGTACACGTAGAATTTATCATTGAACTATTTTTTCCATCTACATTATATTTTCTGATTACTTAGCCAATCTCTGTGCCTACTTTTTTTCAGAAATAAATCACAGTTTATCTATTTATTTAGTGGTTAAAAAATTATTGATAATTCGTTCCGTAATTGTACTGTATTGTGCGGAATTTCCTAAATATTGGTATTTTTTAAATTTTTGTTCGTTTAAACATGAAACCACAGTTCATAGTAGAAGAAATCAAAGGCATGTTAGAAAATCATCGAAAGGGTGACTAGGACATGCCCATGTTGATACAAGATTATAAAATAAAACAACACTCATCAGCTTCATGTACAATTAATTTATTAGGAAAAACTTATTGAATCGAAACCTAGAATTTATCATTGAACTATTTTTTCCATCTACATTATATTTTCTGATTACTTAGCTAATGCCTGTGTCTGCTTTGCTTGAGATGTAAACCATTGTTCATCTATTTATTTAATGGATCAAAGACATATTGACAATTCGTTCATTTACTTAATAATAAAACAGGACCTTTAACTCAGAACTTGCTTTTGTACTGAATTGATTGTATTGAATTGAATTTCCTAAATATTGATATTTTTTAAACTTTCAACCATGTTTGATTATTTCAAACATAAAAACTATAGTTTATAGCAGAAGAGATCTCAGGCATGTTAGAAAAACATCGAACCGTGCCAATGACATACCCATGTTGATGCAAGTTCAAATAAATCAACAATCATCAGCTTCATGTACAATTAATTAATTAAGGAAGAACTTATCTAATCTAAACATAGAATTTATCACAATTAACTAAGGTTTTTAGTTGAGATAAAAAAGTCAATGGCACGAGCGGGATTCGAACCCACGATCTTCGGCTTGATACGCCACTGCTCTACCACTTGAGCTAACGTGACCTCGATCCACTCGGACACCAACTTCCCATCTCAACCCCACCTTTTGAGTTTTCCCTCCTTTTTGCCATTTTTCAAATGTCGTGTAATCAGAATGGATTCTCGGCGACAAATGAAAGGGCCACGGAGAGCTTTAGTGAAGTATAGTTCATTTTAATTCATTAAATTCACTAATTTAGTAGAATTTATCATTGACCTATTTTTTCCATCTACATTTTATTTTCCTTTTGTTTAGCCATTCCATGTACCTAGTTTGCTTCAGACATATTACTTTTTATCTATTTATTTAGTAGTTAAAAAATTATTGACAGTTCGTTTATTGACTACTTTAATGGTATGACAGGACCTTTAAGTCAGTACTTGCTAATGCCAATTTCTTAAATATTGATATTTTTAAACGTTTTCGTTTGTTTAAATATTAAACCACAGTTTATAGTAGAAGAAATCAAAGGCATAATGGAAAATAATCGAACGGTGTCTATGACCTACTGAGCTATCAGATATAACTGTGAGACATAAGTAAGTTTAAATAAATAAAAAATCATGAATTTAATTTGATTTAATAGTTAAATTTGCTTAGGGAATTTGTCTTGAGTCTTCTTTCTCTCGATGTTATCATTTCCTAGCGTTTTCTAGGCTTAGTTTGGCCCAGACGTATAACTTAAATTTGTAGTGCAAGGAATCAGTGGTAACGAGTATATAGATGTAAGTTTGAAAAAATCAAAACTCTTGAGATTAATTTTCGTGAGGTTAATTTGAAGTCCTTCTTTCTTAGGAAATGTCGATTTTCTCATCAATATAGACGTAAGTGTGATCGTTAACTAGTCAAATAATTGAAACTTAATTTATTAAGTAAGAATCATTGGACTGTATTTTCTCTGTTATATATTTCCTCAGTCAAAGACTCTGCCTAGTCGAACTATCACTATGACATAGCCCAGTGGCCGAAAATTCAAATAAATCAATTAACATACGCTGAATCTGTAGTTGATCGACCAATGAAGAATTAACTTTTTCCCCATTGGCTAGCATTACCAAAGAATGTACTTGAAAATTCACTACTTGAAACCATACGGTTCAGCACGGTACGTAGATGATCGATCAATGAAAAATTAACTTTTTCACCATTGGCTAGCATTACCAAAGAAAGGACTTGGAAATTCACTGCTTGAAACTATAAGTTTCAGCACGGTACGTAGATGATCATATTTGTTAATACTGTGATTGATTAATAATAGTTTCCAAGTCTTGATGAACGATATATATTCCTAGAACGCTTGACGAAGGAACTGAGCGTTTTCTTTTCTTTCAAATTGGCCTTATTCCTGATTTTTATAATAGAAAATTAAAAATTGTGTGTTTTCGTTCTTTTATATCAATTCGAAATTTTTTATAGTGTGCCAACAGTTCGAGTGATGTATGGCAAAACATTCGTTCCGCTGATCAAACTTAAGGGTAACGCTGCCGGCCGTTAATTTTATTTTGTGCCACCATTTTGTAAAGGAAGAACAATTTTCCCCAAAAATAAAAGTTATAAAAATGTACTGTTGAATTAACAATAATAATTTGACGAAAAGATAAAGGTATGAGAACAAATGTGAGTGTAGGTTAAATTTATTTTTCTAGATTGAAGAAAATGTCAACAAGGCTGCGATGTTTTTGTATAGGAAAACCAATAGTTATAGGGAAATTTATTAGCTTAGATTTTTTGTAAACTTTATGGCCATGCAATACTAACTATATGAACAAAATCATCATAAGATAAACTACAAGCTACTGAAGAGCTTTTTCTTCAAAAACTCAATAATATCAAGCGGCTTTATACAGAAGAAAATTATTAATATGAAATAATAAAAGTTTTTTTTTTAGTTTAGTTAAGTAATCTTACCTTTCCTTACGTTTCACATCACTGTTCGGGTAATTGAATCTCACTTATAATTATGCTAAAATGTAAAAATAAAACGAAAAGAAAAGGCTTTAATTTTTTTCAAGAAAGAAAATTTTTTAAAAAGAGGAACCCAAGAAAGAAGACAGAGATGAACTTGATACGAGTTTGTTAAAAGCTAGGCCATAATTTGAAATTACCAATTTAAATGTAAGTAGACCATTTCTGCATAAATACTTATTATGTAATTTTTTTTTTTTTGAAAATTGAATTAAGAAATATTTTGTTGTTATATTTACAGACGTCACGTATATACTATAAACTCATTAAATGAACTTTTTAAAGATACTAAAGCTAGTCAATTAATTAATAAGCTAATTGAAACATAAAACCCTACGTAAAAATAAGTTAAAATATTTGTTTTGTAATGTATTAATGGTTCAGATAATGCCTTTATTCCACGATGTATTGATGGTTGGTATCAATTATATCTAGATAATCTCTATTGAGGGGTCCGCTCAGCTTAACTAATTTTAACAAACCTAATATCTTCAAACGCAACAAATATTGACAATTGTGACATTTATATCATTAATCTATATTGTCATTGTCCACAAATAGAGATATTAATATTGTATTACTTTATTTTTCTAATGAACTTACGTTTATTTATTTAATACTAAATTATAATATTGAAGGCTGATGTGAATTACGTCGATATTCTTTAATGTTTATGAATTGTTCAATAATGTTTTATTATATTTAAAAATACTAAACTATATTGTCCTTATGGGTTTTTTAAATGGTATAGATTGAAAAAATAAGAAAATCTGTTAAAATGTATGTAGAAGGCAAAGTTTAAATAAAGACATACAATATTTTTTAACAATTTCAATATTGTTTGATAAGGATGTAACCACCCTCATTTATTGATTAATGTAAAAAATTGAGTTTAAATCGATATATTGAAATGCGTACAGTAGATGCTTAGTAGGACATTTTCCTTGATCAATCGACTTAAAAATACAAAAAAATATTGTCCTCATGATTTTTTTTTAAATGGTACAGATTGGAAAAATAAGAAAGTCAGTTAAAATATATGT